ACCACCCCCCTAGGCCCCTCTCCGCTGTGATAAAGATCGGCAGCCCGAAAAAATTTGACGTTTTTTGTTGTGGTTGTGCTTTGCGGGTCGAGTTAGGCACCCTTTGGAGTAGGAGTCTACCACACTCGTCAAAGTTTGGCCCAAAGAGTTGCTCAAGTTTGATTTCACCTGTTGTTTATGGTTTTCTTTTTACCGACGCATCATTTGTCTCTGTTTTGTTGGTGACCCGTGATGTGCGACTTTGGTGCTTGCTAAGGTCATAGAAGCCCCTTACCCTTTTCATCGTACTGTCCGCTGGGCGCGCTATCGCGCCAGGTGTGTGTTTAACACAAAGCGCCAGGGTGTTTACGAGATAAAACAAAAAAGGAATTTTACAAACAAACCGAAAAAAACGGGCTGCTGTGCCTTTTTGTGATAAGGGGCGAGGGTTTGTTGCGGATCCGTGGTGTGTGCGTGCATTTGAGTGTGACAGTAAGTGTGTGTAGGTGAGAGCGAGTGTGGAGTGTGAGAGAGTGAGTGAGAGCGAGTGTGTGTGAGAGTGAGTGAGATCGTAAGTGTGCGAGCGGTGTTCAGGAGGAAGAGTGCGGTGTATGTGAACGGGGCGTCGTCTGCTCGCAGGTGGTGGGCGTGACTGATCACCGTAACGGTGCAGACCATCGAAAAGGACGGAAAATAAATCGCAAAGTCGAACTGCTGAACGCGCACCTGGATTCCTCCCTCCGCCGGCCATGTGTGCCGAGTGACGCCCGCCGCGGCGCCCGAGATAATGGTGTTCATCCACGGCGCGAGCTGCGCGCGCGGCGCCGGCGCCGCCAGTGATGTCACGGCCGAGCTGGGTGTCGTCGGCGGCGTCCTGGGTGCCACCTCCCCGGCCATCGCCGTGCCTTCGGCCGTGCACTGCCGCCTGCGCGAGCACACCCACATCATCGGCCTGGCCAAGAGCGCGCGCTGGCACCGCGACCTGCTCGACCTCGTGCTGGGCCCCACCAACAACGACGACTCGTGCTGCGGCAGCGTCGAGTGCGGCGCCGACGCCTTCATGTGGCGCCCGTCGCCGCCCGTGCGCCCGGCGCACCAGGCCGCCGTCGTGCACGCCAACGAGTACGTGCTGCGCGCAAAGCCCTGCACGAGAGAAAAAAAAATAGCTAAGTAGCTGCACCAATAGCTAAATACGGGCTAACTACGTTATTAGTTATCAGTTATCTGTGTTGCTAAAAGATTAGTCATGTTTATCTATGCAGCTAAATTTTTAGCTACTTAGCTATTTTTTTTAGCAACATGGTTAATGATTACCTACCCCGTATTAAGCAATTGGTTTAGCTAGATAGCTAATATTTTTCCACGTGGTATAGGCAGCTACCTCGAGCACTTTCCGTGGTTTCCCGACCAACCTTGTTGCCGAAATTGTATAATTTTTCGACCATCCCTGTGTGCCAAAACTCTTAATAATTATACACTTCCGATGAGTACCATACGACAATAACACTAGTTCGTCCGAATGATATATATGACGCTCTGCTCGGCCACAGAAACAAACCTGCTCCGTCCGGTGGGCGCCTGCACGTCAGGCAACCCATCGTGCACCGACGAGCAAAGGCTCCCCTTTACATGTGTTGGGCTCAATTACTCTGTCGAAATATCTAGCACTTAATAATTAGAGCTTTGCACATTTGCATGCCAGTTTGATAGTGGTACATTTTTTCTTTTGACTGCACTTTAAAGCCTTTAAAGTTGCTGAATTGGCTTGTTAATGGCTTAAAACCAATAGTGTTTGACTAGATTTTTTGTTTCAAATTGTTTCAGTAGTTTGAATTTTGAATTTTTATTATTTTGAAAACATTATGATATTATTTGAGTTGCGCTTATTTGGATTTTATTTTGTTTACCGCTTGTTTATTTTTATTTTGGCTTCCCTGCAGCTCTGCACGACGAGCGTCTATAGCGCCCGAGGTGACGCAGCCTCCAACCTATGTTGTCCCGTACCAAAGGTGAGTCATTTTGCTTCAATTTTTTTTCCACGGCTTTTTAATTTGCCCCTTTCCGCATTGGCATTTTGAATTTTACTTTTTAAACGATTTTTCTTTGCGCCTGTTGTGACTCTCGCACTTGTAAGCCGCAGCGCGTGCACGTCAGGCTTGTGTTGTGAGGAGTTTATCTATGTATGTAGAGGATCTAGTAGGTGTTGTAACTCAAGTCGCGACTGCACTTCTGTTGATCTGTGCTACAAACAAATGAAAAAAATATACCGCAAATGGTTCCAAAAATTGTAATTTTTGTTTAAAAATGTGTTTTTGATTATTTTTGAAATAATTGTAACGTAAATACAAAAGCAAGACGGTTTTAAAGGCAAGACGTAGTGGAAGTGGGGGTCTGGACGAGAAGCAGAAGGAAGGGGGGGGGGTTCTAAAATAATTACGCGAAACTGCTCTGGAGGTGAGCAGGGCGCCACTGAGCGGCCCGCGGGCCAGCCAGCTGCTAATATCTTCATTAGGGCGACACAAAGTGGCATAATTGTCGTAAATAACCGAGGGGAGGGGAGGGAAGTGTGGGGAGTGCGCATGGGGGATGGAGGCGGCGGGGAGGGAGGTCACAAGTGCGGCAGTGTAAACAAAGTGCCGGCGCGGCGTTTGGTTGGCTGCCGCAAAAGCCCCGCCCGGACCGTTCTCACGCGACTCGATGGGACTACAGTATACAGCGGTGAGCCCCGTGCGTAGGCTCGGCTGGCCGAAGGGGAAGGGAGGAGGGGATTTGACTCACATCACGCGTTATGTTTGATTATTTGCGCGATCCGCCGCACGGTATGATCTGGCGAATTAATGAATTCTCTCTCTCTCTCTCTCTCTCTCTCTCTCTCTCTCTCTCTCTCTCTCTCTCTTTCTCTTTCTCTTTCTCTTTCTCTTTCTCTTTCT